TGTAATAAAACCACAGCGGACGATGGCAGGCGGTGAGTGGTTGGGATCCACACCACTTCCCAGAACACAGACTTGCTGTGAGTGGAGGGCGGCGTGAACCTGCAGCAGAACCGTGCAGAGTTCAAAACAGAGGTCAGGGAGCTCAACTCCGGCCTTGCAGCCAGAGACCAACCTGAATCACAGTGGACTGCGGCTGCTCACTGAGACTAATGGACTCTGATCTGCGTGCTGCAGCTCACATTGTCACCACCAGCAGAGACACATGAAGGGGACATCTTTTTCCTTTCTTTTCTTCTACTTTTCCTCTTTATTTTCTTCCCTTTCCTTCATTTCTCTCCTTTCTTGTCTTTGTTTTTTCCTGTTTTGTTTTTTTCTTGATTGTCCTTATTTTTCCAGCAGCGTGAATACAGTTTCTAGTTTTCCTGTTGTTGCTCATTCATTCTGTTCTTGTTTTTGTTCCTCCTTCTCTCCTCTTTTTTCCTCCTGTCTTCACCAGTTTATCTTCCTGTGTCCTCTAGCCTTACTACTAACCTTTCCCTCTCCTCCTATTTCACTGTCCCCCAACTCCTTTCTTTTAATTCAATAAATTTTATTTTATCCCATTCCCCCACAAGCCCCCTCCCCTCCTATGTACAAAATCTTTGTTTCCACCCCCCCAACTCCTTCTAAGTCTTCTTCCAAGAGAATAAATTCACTGTAATAAAGGGCTCATTTTCTGCAAACATATTTCTAGGTGGTCCTTAATTTTTATATGCAACCACAAGTCTAGTTCATGTGGTTAAAGGTGACAGATTAATAATTAGCACAATTTGTCATTTCCTAAGCTGTGTTTGACAAAACTGTTGATGCTGATTGTACCCCTCTGGCCAAAGTGACGTGATTGTTCTAGTTAGTGGTCCCTCCTGGTATACCAAAATGGAGATTGCCTAACAGTCATTGCAGACTCAAAACTCAAAGACCAACTCAGGCATTAAACAAAAAACATCAACAAAAAATAAAATGAACCAAGGATCGTTAGCCAAAATGAGGGGAAATGTAAGCTCTAATAAAAAAAAAAAATCTCACCAACATAAAAATCCACCAAATAGCTGGATGGTCAGTGGCCCAGAAGGCTCTTGCTTGTAGTTGTCACTCATCCAGAAAAGGTCATGAAAATGAGCTATGGATGTCCTGCCCAAAGTTGCTCCAAAGAATCTTCTCAAGGAGCTGCATGAAATCAGAGTGCGCTTTAGGTGACATGGGGCCCTTTTGTATCACAATAAAATCACCCCTTTCTGTTTCACTGGTAACTAAAGAGTATCTAGGAAGCTACAATGTACCACAATTACTTTTATTCCTGAGCAAATCACAACAGAGTTCTTCAGACACATCCCTGAGCCTCTGATATCTTAACATTTCTTCACCAAACTTTCCTATCAGCCAATAATCCAAGAACTTTGAACTCCAAATTGTCTCACAAAGAAGCCCCAGAATGGTTCAAAGCCCAAGATTCCCAGACAGGTCCCTAAACACCTGCAATGACAAGGAAAAGGACGGTGGATGAGGCAGTATGATTCTTAGCTTTACTCGTTTCACTGATTGGATCTCTTCTTCCCAGACCGTATTTAATAATCTACCTTAGTTAAAGTCAGCTGACTTCATGCCTTAACAGGGTGCAGAACACATTCCCGGGGACTTGGGTGATGGCTGCAGTGCGTGCCTCCAATGTGGTGCTGAAGAAAAGCAGTGACCCTGAGGTGGGGGTGAAAGATAAAACCTGATATGGACTGAAAAGTGAAAAGACAACCCGGCCAAACTAAAATCCAGGGTTACAGTTGAACAGGCTGAAAATAATCCAGGTTCTTGTGCGGATGGAGGGAAGAATTGCTGAGGGTTTACCGCAGAGAAAGTAAGCTATGTTTATTGGAGTTGACAGGACGGTAGCAGGAGCTTACAGAAGAGCAGCAGGAGCAGGCAGAAGGAAGAGGAGCTCTCCAAGAGCCTCAACACAAATCAGGCTTCCAGTATTTGAAGGGTCAGATGCCTCTGAAGCCAGGTACCTCCTGTTTCATCTTCCGCTGGAGCTGGGACTGATGATCTGCCACCTCGGCCATTACAATCTCCTGAGATCAAGCATGGATAGTCCCCAGAGCAGTGCTGTGCCCATTGCTGAATGGAGGGAAAGGAGGGGGTCCTCTCTAACTGTATCATTAGGGGAACGGAAACTGCTCCAAGACTGGACCACAGTGCCCCAACCCCACTCCAGACAGGGCATTTGTGCCATCTTGGGAACGGTACTTGTCTGAGGGAGGGAGCAAGTCGGTCCCGCAGCAGCAGTATGGAGGATTAAATCAATCCACAGTGGAGCTGTTCTCTCCACTGCACCTTATGGAGTTAGACCATTCCACCCAGGAACCCAAGGAAGCCAAGCACAATGGGGTAACATTTGTTTCCACGAACAATTACACCTGCCTCTAGAGCCGGTGGGCAGCAGGATGCCAGGGAGAGAGGTTTTCCAACACAGATATTTTAATAAAAATAACAAGCCACCTGTATCTCCTACTACTGGGTGTGCAGTAGGCAGAACATACAGTGTCCTGCCTGCAAGTGTAAGCAAGCTCCCAACGGGAAGGAGACACCCAGCAAGACCTAGCTGAGGGGGAAAAGAGGTTCTGTGACCAAATCAGAGATGGGCACAGGGGCTGAGTGACTCAGGGAGCCTGGAGAGTAGAAACACACCCTGCTGCTGTTTTCTTTGGGCAAGGCTGGAACAGACACCTTCAGAGATCAGTAGCACGGACAGCATCTTCAGGGCAATATATACAATGATTCCTTCACCCATACATAATGAATGAGTCGGAAACCTGTGGAGAAAAGACACACAGAAGCCTGCAGTGTTTATTCTGTAAATCGATCAGGATACTCCTATCCCTGGAGATTTGCAGAGGGGCATGGTCAAAGTTGGAGACCAGGACACAAGTTGACATTTTAGGTGGGGTAGAGTTAAATTCCTAATACTTATGCTACTTTGGGTGTGTGTGTATGTGTGTGTCTCCGGGCATTACACCCAAAGATGTTCTACCACTCATCTACAACCCCATTCTTGTTATTTTTTTTCAATTTTAGGAGAGAATCTTGCTTAATATCCATGGCTGGCTTCAGACTTTCAATCCTCTGATTCAACCTCTATAGCAGCTGAGGTTACAAGCCTGCATATTACTTTAAATATTAAATATATAATAACTAAGAATGTTCCATCTTTAAAAACACCTTTTCAATGAGAAAACACGCTTAAACTTTGCAATTAGAATTTGAATCTATATTATGGGTTAAAATGTACACAGAAATGAGTAAATCTGTAAATGAACCATGATTCATTTCTCTGTTCTTTCAACCTGTACCTCGGTTTTATAAAACTCAGTTTGACTTTTTGTCAACTCTCTAATGGACAAAGTGGCACATCTTCCATGAGTGGTTCTCATGTGTACATCCCAGACACGTGGCTTGGCTTCTCCCATTTGCCAGGACATCAGCAGCATGTGTATCACTACCTTTCAACCACTTCAGGGAAGGGTTACCACGGTATGATGGAAAGGAAGACCTGGAATCCAGAAGGGGCGATGCAAGTCGATGAAACACCTGTGATCTTTCCTGGAGGAATTTGCTCTGAACACATCTTACCTGAGCCAAGTGATAGCACTTTGCAAGAGACTGAATTGGTTGTTCACCTGGAAGCTCTACAAACAGCCTGCTGCACCACAGCTGGACAGAAGAGGCAGAGAGGAACGGAGTGGATCTGCACCACTTGCAGTGCACAGAGGCTTTTAAGGAGTGACAACAAGGTTATAGGGACCTTCAAAATCCTCAGCAGTCAAGCCCCTCAGATGCCCCAGCACCTGCCTCCCTTCAGTCTGTCTTTGTCCTTTGTCCCTGTCCCAGTGCAGTGACATTGCTCTGTGAGCATCCGGTCACCTCTGCACACGCTGCCGATCCTTTGGAACCACAACTAAGTGTTACATTCACAACCTGTAAGCAGTTCTAAGCAACCCCAGTAGGGAATGAGTCGCAACCCTCCCTCCAGAACGGTGCCCCCACCTTGCTCTGCAGTGCCTATAATTTGACTTGAGCACTGAGTGAATTCCAGTACCCTTCCAAGAGCTGAGGCCCTCTTTGGGTTTGAAAGACCATCCCGCAAGGTGCCCTCCTGCTAAGCCGGGCACGCTGCTCTCACCAGTGTCCACGAGGGGGCGCCGGACACCAAAAGCACAGAGGTCAAAACCAGCATGAAAGAACTGAGACCTGGACATCCCAAGGCTCAAGAGCAGGAAGTTAGAAGGAACTGCTGTAGACTCGCAGGGTCCTTCCAGGTGGTACCGATGTATTTGCAAAAGAAACTGCAAATCCCCTGCACTCCAGGACTGGGCTCGCTCTGGTCACCACCTCTCCTCCTCTAGCTTCACTGAGAAAATTTCTTGTGGCAGGTTGAGTCCTAGAGCAAGTTAAGTGAAGAGTGGTTCCATGGCTGGAGAACTGCAGGAGCCTCAGAGTGGCCCAGTGGGTCCACAGCCCAGCAGTACGCGAATGCTGGTGCTGGGAAGAAACCTTTAGCAATGTAACATCAGCAAACGCCGCGAGGAAGGTACAATTGTAAGGAAGCAGGAGGGCAGGAGCTCTAATACGACAGGTGTAGGGATACCTGGAATGAGTTTGTGGCAGGGAACTTGAAACCTTCGGTGCAGTGCATGTTTTCTGGGAAAAGCCTACCTCCCAAAGAGGACTTAAGAAAAATTGTCTTGCAATCATTCAATATATAGAATATATAGAAATCTTTTCATAAACAAAAAGTCAGACACAGTCCCTGAAAATTTAAAAAATTTAATGAAGAAATACCATTTTGTAAAAGAATTTAAGAACATAGTAAAAAAAGCACAAAATTCATACTAAGACTATCTTAACCACCACCAAACCCCAAAGATAATCCCAGTGGAAAAAATTAAAAAACCGAGTTCAACTTATTTATAAATATAACATGGAACATTTTAAATCGAAATATTAAGAAAGTAGTCCAGCAATACAGAAGTACATAGGCTTGGATTAGTTGAGTTACAGCAGAACAGAATGTCCATTAGGCTGGAATGGATGCACGTGGCTGTAGGACCAGCTACTTGGGCAGCTCAATGAAGGAAAAGGGTAAGTTTAAACATAGCCTTTAAAAATTATTCAGACACAAATTGTTCATTTTAAAAAGGCCCCGATGATATATGACAGAGGTAGAATTCCCTAGAATGCAATACTCCACTCCAAAGAATTTTATTTAGTGTGAGAAAAATGTATTTGAATGACCACAGGAATGTTAAAGAACAAAAGTCCCAACTCTTTCAATAGAAGAGATAATTGCATTTAAAAACCCAATATTATACAAATGAAGGGCACTGAAAACCTGAAAGAGAAACCAAAGGGGTCTTTTGGCAAAACTGGTAACAGACAAGCTATGAGAAATGTGAATCTAGGAAATGTGGATGCTCCTGTTGCCTCTCATTGTTCTGATTTTACATCCTACAGTTTCTCCAGAGAAGACCTTACCCTTCCCTTCCCTGCATGTAGACAGGGTGATGTACAATTGTTTTTCACGGCTTCTGTTTACTGGAAAAGGGCCCAGCAGTGGACATCTGGAAAAACCCCATTCTGAAGCTGCTGGATTTCAAACCTAGGATGCTCTGCATGGACTTGCTGTTTTCCTTCTCCAAGAGGTTGTAGAGACCTGTCTGCTGTTTGCACAGGTGCCTGCTGCAGCAGGGAGCTCAGGGCACCTCCACTACTTTCCTGCTCTGATGGAAGATTGGGCTCCTGTTGCCCTAAATCACTTGGATTCTGGTATGGCAAAAATTGGTTGTGGAACGCCAACTGGTAATTCTCTTGATAATATTGAGGTGGTTGTATCTGTTGCAGATGGTATCCCCAGTGGTTTGGCAGCTGTCCTTGAAATATCAAATATTGATAAGGAACCTTGTACTCCTCTTGTTGCTGGCTTTTTCCCAGACCATTGAAAACATAATGGGAAAGGAAGGTTAGTGAATTCTGGCTCTGCCCTACCTCATATTTGGCATTTTCAAAATACTGCATAGATGCATTAGGATAAATAAATGAGTCTGGTGTGGAGGGGGGAGAAGGTCCACTTGCTGGGGCACCTTGATACTCGAGGGGACATCTTGGCTCCCTGTTAACGCCTGTGACCACAGAGTCACCTGAGCCAAAATATCCCCTGGGAATCGTCTGTGTTTCCAGTGAAGAGTCGCCAGCTCTCTGTGGTAGTGTCTCCTGGTCATGCAAGGAAGTCGGACTCATAGTAGGGTAGTTGTCTTGTGCCTTGATATTTGGGGACACCAGGGACTGAGACCTTTCGACATGGAACCTGTTTAATTTCCAGATGGCAAAGATTCTCTTTTTCTCTGTAGGTGATAGTCTGCATCTTCTACCTTTGAACCATTTCTAATGAGAAAGAGAAAAATGCATTAGTCAAATTTAGTTTTCTAGTAATATCCAAAGGCATTTCTAAACTTATGCATTGTCTAGGTCAGCTTAAACTCAGCATTATTAATAATTTGCTTCCTGATCATGAGAAGACATGACAAATCTGCACTTGTTATTATGGAAGTTTTGAAATGTGTAGAATTCCACACTCCCAACTGAATCCATGGTTTCCAGTGTCTTTTCTTTTTGTTTTATTTTTCAGTACTGGGGATCAAACTTGGGATCTTGCACTTGTGAGGCAGATGGGGGAAGCACTGAGTTAAATCCCCCTGTCCTTCCAGTGTCTTTTCTTGATGTGCAAAGGAAGGTTCTCAAAATCTTCCCCTGAGCACTCTGCAGCCTATTTAGAATTTTCAGCATTTAGACAGAATAGACTCCCGGAAAGACATTCCTGCACCTTCTGTATTTTACTCAAGCTGTCCTAGCACAGTCCCTTCACAATCAATGTGTCCTCAATTTGGTTCTGAAATTAATTGTACTCAAAGTTCATGCGCAAAAGCAAGAGTTTCTCATAACCAAGCAGAATGTTTTATGCGATCCTAAAATGTTACAGAATAACTCCAGTTGATTTTTTCTTCCCTAGAAAATGATAATCTTAGATGAAAATTGTAGTTCCCCACATTTCAGGCAGTCATGTTCAAATGACAAAACGCTGTTGTACACCATCCATTCTAATGAACTAGGTTGGCGGTGAGGCATGTAGAGGCTTGAGCACAGGCAAGAGCGTCTGGGGCCATTTGGACATTTGATTGTTGCTTCAGGTCCCATCTCCACATTCAGAATTCCAACTATAGCAGCCGGAAGGCTCCTTACACACATTCATCATCGCCTAATATAAAACTGGCAGATCCCTAATGAATGTGACACCTTCAAACATGTTCACCTTTGCACCTCACAAAACAGGTGTGCACAGCAGAGCGGGATCCAGAGTGAAGCTTTTCTCAGAGGTTACAGAACTGACCTGCAGGGAGATTTTGTAGGATGCCACCAAGAGACAGGCACCACTTTCTGTTGTCCCAGCCTCTGGGACCCTGTCCCCATCCGTGCCAGCTTCTGGATCACACCATGGCTCTTCACCAGGAATGTGAGCGTCGTTTTAATCCTAACCCGCCTTCCACATATTCCCTTACTCAGATTGTCTTTGATTTGTAAAATTATTGATTTGTGTGTCCATTTAAAATTTTCCACTTCGTGAATTTTATATTAGAAGTGAATTGTTTATAGAAAACTTGCCTACATATTTCTTTTATTCTCCAAGGATATTTTTATATTCCCTTTCTTATTTTCACTGAGGAAACTTCTCGCTCTTGCCATGCAACCACTATACTCAATGATCCAGAGATAGTGACAGAATAAAAACACATGGAAAGCTGAAAAATGCATATAAAATAGTACTTCAGGTGTGAAATTGTGGGATGCAACCAAAGTCCTCTACTATGCAGGGCTGTGATCTACCTCTCAGCCACATCTCCAGCCCTAACTCATACAATTGACACATGGAACAGTTTTGTGCAGCTTTAATGATGGTTTGCAAAAAGGGCTTTGTCATGAGTTACCCCTCCAAAACATAGCTTTGTGCCACACAAGGTTCTGAAGTTTGTAGATTAGTGGGAGGTGACAATGCATGGACAAGAGCCAGCCTGGTCCTTCCTTTTGCTCTTGATTCTGTTATATGTAACCGTTCATTTAGTGTCACCTGTTAGCCATTTCATTGGCAAACCCAATGTCAATGTCCAACCGGAAACTCCCAGTGTCTCTAGTACACAGCTGCGACTCCTCCAAGCCTCCTTTTGTGACTTACACATAAGTCCAATATTCCACTGGCTTAAGCCAAAACGTGGGACCCTTTCTTTAGTGTCTTCTCCCACTACATAACCAATACCTCAGCACACTGTCAGCTCTACACTGAAAATACAGAAAGTTTCCCAATGCTAAGAATTTCCACAGCCACCTCCCTGGTCTGAAATTTCACAGTCCCACCCACCCTGGAAAAATGAACATTATTTAACTGGTGCATGCTTCTGAGGCTTGTCTTAAAAAAGATTTTTTTCTTCATAAAATGAATGTGTAATGTTTTTACATGTATACTGAAGTGTAGAAGAATGACTGTCAAAAGTGTTACAAGAAGCCAGGTATAATGGTTTGTGCAATCCCAGCACTTGGGAAGCCGAGGCAGGAGGATCACCATAAGTTCCAGGCCAGCCTGGACTCCATATTGAGTTGAAGGCCAGTTTAAACTACACAGGAGACCCTGTGTCAAAACAAAACAAAACAAAATGAAATACACCAAAAATCATATAAAATGGCATGCTATGAATCACTTTCATAGTTCCTAGGGCCTGGGATTTAGCTCAGTGTTTCCGCCACCTGCCTTGGAAGCATAAGTACCCGAGTTCAATCCCCAGTACAAAACGAACAAACAAACAAACAAAACGAAACAAAAAAATAATTTAAGGAGATTTCATAATTCCTTCCATTTCCTGTATCATCTATAGAAATACATATCCATGCAAAACTTTCAATATTGGACTTACCTGAATGACGTGCAAATTGCAGTGGAATTGATCGGCAAATTCTTCCTTGGTTGTGAAAGTAGGGTAAGGGTTCTGTTGAAATGATTGTTCCAGAGTCTGTAATTGCTGCTCTGTAAATCTGTGTGGAGGTCTTGTTTTCCGTCTTCCACATTTTCTTTCTTGGGTTTCATTATGATCATCTTTTTTACCTGAAGATCCTGAAACATGTGGAAACACAAAGAAAAGCATGTGGGAATGAATTTAGGTAGCATTTAAAAATGATCGTTTGTGTATAATGATTCATAATTTAAGATTTATAAGACTTTGTCATTATATAATTCATAATGGCATCACTAACAGATTAAGATAATAAAGATGAAATAAAAAAAATTTTTTTTGGTACCAGGGATCGAACTCAGGATCTTGCAATTTCGAGGCAAGCTTGGTGCCACTGAGCTAAATCTCCAGCCCCAAAATGAGATTTTTCTGAAGTGAGATTATTTAAGGCAGGTGTGGTAGCACAGGCCTGCACTTGTAACGCTCTTGATTCGGAGGCAGGAGGATTCCTTGCTCAGCAGGAAGAGAACAGCTAGGGAGACTCAGCAAGACCCAGTTCAAAATAAATGAACTAAGTGAAAGAAAAGGACATTACTTTAGATTTCCAGAATTGAAATATTCCTTAGGCACGACAAAAACATAAAAGCGAAGACCAATGAAAGTGACACAGACACGGTTTTTTTTTTTTTAGCATCACTAATCACTAAGGGAATGAATATCAAATCCACAGGCCTATATTAGCATATGTCCTTTAAGATTGCTATTATGTAAAAAAACCCAGGAAAATTGTAGCTGAGTATGCAGAGAAATTGGAAACACTGAATACTGTTTGGGGAAATGAAGGGTGGTGTAGCTTCTAAAGAAAACAGTATGGTAGTTTTCAAAAAAATTAAACTACTATATCATCCAACAATTCTTCTCATGTGAGGTACCTAAAGTAGTCAGATTCACAGGAATAACCTCCATAAAATAGTAGTTTCTGGGGACCGGGGAGAGGGAGGACTATGAGTCATTGTTTCATGGGCACAAAGTGCCAGACTTGGGGGACGGAGAGAGCCTGTGGGAGCACCGCGATGGTGGTGGCATCAGTGTGAATGAGCACAGTGTCCCCAGAGTACACGTAAAGTGGGTCAGATGCTCAAGTGCATGTCCTGCTTTATCAGGATGAAACAGAAACCCCAATGCAAAGAAACAGCCCAGACTTATGACACATGAATCTATACATGGATAATTTAGACCCAGAGAGAATTCGCCTTAATTCAAAGCCACCACTAGATAACTAAACCAAGTGACAACTAAGGGCATCATTGTGTCCCTGAGGTTGGAGCTCCCATAATCTGATTCTGAAAGGACACAGCCACCAGTACTGTGGCAGAGGGGATTACGTTTCTAACAGAATGTCGTATGTCATAAGTGTCACATTCAAAGCAAAACACCAGTCAATGCAAAGATACCTGGAAAACTACGGAGTGACTGCGAGTGAGCATTTGATGTGTTTCAATGTAGAGCTAAGCCTGAAGAATCAGAGATTTCAAACAAGATGTGAACAGAAGTTCAAGGCCTAGTTTTGCTGTTAAGCAAACCAGTAGCTGATATAATGAAAACTAGAGCACTTGCCTGGCATGATCAGAGCCCAGAATTAAATGCTCAGTATAATAAGAGGAAGAAAGAAAAGGGAAATCATACTGTGAAACTCCACAGTGACGCATGCTTAAGATGGTAAATTTTATGCTTTTTAAACAAAATGAAGGTAAGTGTCACCACCAGGTGGGGCAGATTTCTATACCCAGCACTCAGGACTCTGTGGAAAGAGGATTGAGTCTGCAGCCACCTGGGACTACAGAAAGACCTAGCTCAAAACAAATCTATTATACAGAACTATGGAAAAGATTAGAATGGAAAATGAATTGAAATTCTCATGAAAACACAGTAACTGTTGGATCTTAACCCTTTTCTCGCAGAAGTTCATAAAGGATAAGGCAACATAAATTATAAGAGTGCACAGTTTTTGTCTTACTTTGGAGGTGAGGAAGGGACACTGGGAATAGCAGAGACCCCTTCTGGGTCTCTGTCTACATCAGTTCTATACTGCAAAAAAACCACAGGCTTCCCTAACCTGGTCAGAAACAATCCCATTGGCACTCAGCAAATGCAAGGATAACATGCTGTAAGAGCCTCCATATGCATAAATTTCCTCATTTGCAGATTCTCCTTACACTGTAGAGACCCATACTGGCAGTGTCAGCCTGCAGTGAGGATGCCCAGCAAGGACAGCTTCTGCCCCTATCAGGCTTTTCCTCTGCCATGTGGGGGAGGGAATCTCCGATGGAAAGAACAAACCACCGTGTTTTCCTGCCCCTTTTCCCATCCACGTCTCCTCAGTGCAGATTACCGGGTGAAGGTTAGGCTGTGGGATTGAGGCCTACGCATAATTAGTGCTCCACAGATGTGGCTCATTTGTGCTGAGTGCAGCCCCACAATCTACAGAGAAGGTCGGAAGGAAATTACAGACAGGAGCCCGAGTGAGGGTCACAGGAGCCTGCCTTTCCTGTGAATGGCACTCCCTGGAGCCTTCAGTGACCCCATCACACTTGACAAAGCTACTCACCAAAGAAGATCCCAGAAAAGCTTCAGAAACTGGCAAGGAACATGGGCTAAGTGTACTCGAAGCAGAAGGGAGCAGTTTGAGAGTTTATGGCAATGTGTTTTTTCTGTAATAAATTTTTGATTTTGAATTTCATTAAATATTGTGATCATACTGTGTAGTTGCACATATAGGCATTTTGTATGGGCTAAGTGTACTCGAAGCAGAAGGGAGCAGTTTGAGAGTTTATGGCAATGTGTTTTTTCTATAATAAATTTTTGATTTTGAATTTCATTAAATATTTTGATCATACTGTGTAGTTGCACATATAGGCATTTTGTTTTACTATAATTACAGGTCCACTTTGAATTCTTCACCCTCTGGAAAAGTCCTAGTCCACAATTCTGTCCAGACACCATAGGCAGTCACCTTGATGACATGGGCTGTTCCCAGCCTACTAGACTGCTTCTCTCTCTCTTTTTTTTTTTTTTTTTTGTACTCAGAAGTGAACTCATGGCTATTGCACAGAACTGCATTCCTAGACTTTTTTAAATTTCTTAGTTTCTCACTAATTTAATAAATTGCCCAAGCTTGGATCCAACTTGTGATCTCAGCCTACTAGACTGCTTCTCTCTCTCTCTCTCTTTTTTTTTTTGGTACTCAGAAGTGAACTCATGGCTATTGCCCAGAACTGCATTCCTGGACTTTTTAAAATTTCTTAGTTTCTCACTAATTTAATAAATTGCCCAAGCTTGGATCCAACTTGTGATGCTCCTACCTACACTTTGAAGAGATAACGTTTCCGATCCCTACAAGACTCCAGTGCCTTACATAGCCCGCCCCACATCCAACATCAAACAGCCTACCTTTGGAAGCCATGTCAAATATCCAGCGCACCTCCTCCGAGTAACACCGCCGTCCCAGCCGAAGTGAGTGTGGAAAGGAGGGCCCCCCAGCAGAGCTCTTTAAATACCCCGCCGAGACCACCCACCCTACACACACCCAATCACACCAATACCCACCCACTCAAGGCCTGGGCAATCTCTGCCCTCCCACTCCCAGCCACAACCAGTCCCTCACCTGCCCGGTCTCCACCTCACTCTAGACAAGGCGGAGCCTTACGAAGACAGCTGGCTTTACCAACTGACCTTCCTGTTTCCTACCTTCCGCTCCCTCAGCGCTGCCGCAGCTTACGTTTTTATGTAATCCCTCTCCCGGACTTAATGTCAGTAGAATTTTATGCCCGGTCGGACTTGAGGACTCTGGGACATTTAGACAACAGGCTGAGCCCCTCACCCCAAACCTCGTGCTTGGGGCCCTCACACTGCTATACCCCAGGCTGCTGGCAGCGTGAGGAAGGAGCCTCACCTGGCTCCCATGACCACCTAACTTTAATTTGTCCTTGATTAAACCATAGACAGATTGGAGTCAGGAGAGACCACAGGTTGCATCAATGACGTTATGGGATGAGTATTTGTAGTACAATGGATTGTCTAATTTTGGGGAGGAAGGACTGAGCACAGAGCACTCACACTGATGTATGTCCCAGCCCTTATTTATTTTTATTGTGAGACAGAGTCTCCCTAAGTCATTAAATTTTCCCAGGCTGTGCTCAAAAATGGAGATCCTGCTAAGTCATCGTCCTGCAATGCTGGGGTTATGAGGTGGAGGGTCCAGGGGACTTGTTTCCAGGCTCTTGGTATCCCAAGGAACTTGAGCAGGACCCTCAGGAGTAACAAGGGAAGAGTTATTAAAGTAAAAGATGGAGGTCATACTCAGATCCACCTGTAGTATAGGGAGAGGCACTGAAAATAAACAGCTGTTGCCTCCTAATCTGCCCTCTGTAGGCCTGTGTCTAAGTCTCTGAGGCTTTAGCTCCTCTCAGCTGCCAAAGAGCTAAGAGCTGTCATGAGCAGCACTGTAGGTGTACCAAGGGGTATGCCTCATCCAAACTGTCAGCAGGTAGAACTGTGACCGTACAAGGGTGTAGGAGAGCCAAGACAGCAATGTGGTGTTCAGCTGTTGCCTCCTAATCTGCCCTCTGTAGGCCTGTGTCTAAGTCTCTGAGGCTTTAGCTCCTCTCAGCTGCCAAAGAGCTAAGAGCTGTCATGAGCAGCACTGTAGGTGTACCAAGGGGTATGCCTCATCCAAACTGTCAGCAGGTAGAACTGTGACCGTACAAGGGTGTAGGAGAGCCAAGACAGCAATGTGGTGTTGGATACAGGCCAAGGTGTTGGACTTTTGACTTTGTGTAAATGCTAGGAGAGTTTATTGGACAGGAAAACCTTTATCTGTACCTTTTCTGTTATTTGGACATAGTTATCCTCACTCTGTCTGGTTTCTCAGTTCTTTACACACAGCCGTCTCTTCCTTACTTCACTTCCTACCTTACTGGGATGCAGCTCTGTGCCACCTGGCCAGGCCGTCTTATTCTCAAACTGTTTCATGATGGAGCCTGACTTACGATCTGAATGCCAGCCACTTGTGCTTCCACATGGTCTCAGATAAAGATTTAACTCTTAAAGAGTTCTGGAATGAACATTACAGTATCCTTTCCTGTGTGGGGTTCACTGAGGCATCCTGGGCCAATGTCTCCCTAAGGACACTGAGATCTGCCTGTGTACAGGAGAGAGACTTTGGAGGCTGTGCAGAGGAGCCTTCAATTGACCAGTTTTTTAAATCAGCCCTTGTATACAAACTGAGTTCTTAAGTCAAGGGTCCACTGTACATGACTCAGCTATTTGTCTTCCCTTGCATCACCATATATTTTCCTTATTTGATATGTGTGTGAAATGATGTTGTCCAAGAATAAATGGACATTATACTTGGCTGGATTTTCTAAAAACAAAACAATACAAAACAAAAACCCCAAACCATAGGCTTAGACTGACTTCTCTGGTATTTGTCTTTGTCTTAATAGTTCAAAATTCAGGTCAGCTCTTCTGATTTTTTCTCAGTACCTTCAAATTACACCAAACACCCACCCTGTTCTTTCTTCAACGAGCTGGTTTCAAAACTCATGGGAACCAGACTGCTCCCTGTACTGCTTCTCTTTCCTTAGCTACAGTTGCTTCTGTGCTCACCTAAAGTTTAGATGTCACTGACTTAGGTAAAAAAGCACCAGCATCATCTCCTGGCTAATATTTCTGTCACCCCCATCTCTTCTTCCTTGAAACTCACATTTTTATGTTAAGCTTGGCTTTGCTAGATGTCCACTGATTTCTAAATCCTTTTAGATCCCCTAATGGTGAGAGCCCAGCATAGACAAGGGCTGTGTATGGAGCCCTGCAGCGCTGCTGTGAGAAGCCCAATGGAGTCTCTGAAAAATCAATCTTTAGGGGTGACCTTATAAGAAGATATCTTTATCCTGTTGTGGTGGCACTTGCAATCTTAGCCCTGACAGAAGCAGAGAAGGGAGGATGGCAAATTTCAGCCCAGCCTGGACACATGAGCAATTTAGGGAAAACCTATCTTAACATTTAAGAAAAAAACCACAAATATAAATAAAAGGGATTGGGATGTATATTAGAGCAATCTCCTTGGGTTCAATCTCCATAAAACAAAACCAAATAAACAAACAAAATCATCCTTACCAATGATGCCACGGAGGAAAGATCAGAACTCAGTGCAGTTCCTGGCACAGATGCTCCTGCCCTGTCTACTCCTCCCTTCTCATTGGAGAACCCATCACTTGGTGCCAGGTCAGCTCCAGCAACCTCATGCACTTCCAGGTACAGAGAGATGCTTTGCCCTCCTGTCCTGGGCATCTACATTGGGTGTCACACAGATGAAACCAGGTCAGAAAAGAAGAAATTACTTTGGCTTAAAGCAAATTATTAGTGTGGAAATTTAATTACAATGACCATCTATCTAGTTAAAGAGATAAAAATGCCGAAAAGCACAGGTCATTTATGATTTGGGTGCTCTATAGAGATTCAGATTTTGGTATTCCATAAGTGTTTATCTTGGAAGTTATATCTTCTTCAAATTTAAGGACTTTCCTCCATTCTTTGGATCCAGTGAATTATTAAATTCATTTTCCCACTGCTTTTCTTCAATAGCAAAAGCACATTTCACTTAAATATAAGTTCCTCTTGGGTTTGTCAACTTCTTTTCCATGAACAAACTTATTCAACACTGCTATTTAATAGTTCCATCATAATATTGAATACAGAATGCATATGTTTGGCTGTCTGTGTAGGCCTTGTCTTTCATCCCCAGAACATCACTGAAATGTAGAAAAGGAAGTTGAAGAAAAGAGGTACAAAGTAATCAAAGAGCACATCATTGACATACATAAACATACATGGATTAAATTCAAGAATTGACAACACTGATTCCCTAGAGGAAATTAAAAAAATCAAGAACCCACTAGATGGTTTCTACAAAAGATGCAATTTACACATACACTGAAAGAGAAAGGGAGCAAATGATAATGGATGCAAATTGTGGCCCCCAGTGAGCAATTTCAGCAATTTTTAAACCGTGCAAAATAGTTTTATTCAAAAAAATCCAACAGAGTTCAAAAACAAAGTAATAAAAAAGACTAAAATCCCTCTGAAAGATATCACAATTACAAATATATATGCACCTAACATCTGAGCTCTCAAATATATGAAGCAAATGTTTGAGACAATGTCCAAGAAAATGCAAAACTATGTGGAAATTACACAACAAACTCTCAAATAACCAATGACTCAAAGAAGAAATTACAGCAGAAATAAAAATGGGACACAGTAAAGAACATTTTTTGTTTTGTTTTTTTGAGATAGGGTCTCACATTATAGTTCAGGCTGTCCTCAAACTTACTATGGAACCCAGGTTGGTCTCAAACTCATGGCTATCAGGGGCTGCACAAGTACCTGGCCACGTGATTGAAAGTACAGTGAGGAAAAGAGGAAGGTTTATGGCATAAAGGGGGTCTGTGATGATCAAAGTTCTTGCAAGTCTAAGACCACGAGGGTCTTGACTTGCCACTATTTATTGATTACACTACATTGCAGGAGGCATAAAAGCAGATATAGAGAACAGCAGGGCTAAGGCACTGCCATGAGCTAGGCTTGTAAGGGCTGTGGACTTCACCCATGAGGAGTGAGGGCAGCTGGACATCATGCAGAGTAAGTTGTACTGTGACATTGTTGTGGAAGGAATTGGTAAGTGACACACAGAGAGATGCAGAATGGAGGTAAAATAGTAAAAGGTTCATTTTGTTGACAAAAGGCTGATCGCACTAAGAGCAGTTCTAGAGATTGACCTCATACTTGGCTATAGTTTCCCCCTTCATAGGGTTTTACAGTCATGATCTCATTCAGGTGGTTACATTTCATTCTCAGTTCTTTGATCGCACTAAGAGCAGTTCTAGAGATTGACCTCATACTTGGCTATAGTTTCCCCCTTCATAGGGTTTTACAGTCATGATCTCATTCAGGTGGTTACATTTCATTCTCTCAGTTCACATTGCCATTATACAAATTACAGTCCCAAGACAGTTAACTTTAACCCAGATGTAGCAATTCTTTGTAGTTAGGGAGTTTACCTTTATGTTTCATCTAGTTATCTATCCTAGCCCATAGGAAGTGAGTGTTCCTGATCTGGAAAGCAAAGTTAGCAATGGCTCTTTTCATCTTGTCACAGTTACAATCATGTGGTTTACAGAACTTTGGAACTCAGAGTCTTGATGTGCCCTGTTATCTCAGGGTGAGACCAGATGCCTCATTTAGTGGCTAACGCCTCTGGTGTCTGTTAATTCTGAACTAAACAAAGCAAACTGCTGTCAGAGACAGCAGAAGCCTTCTACCTTGTGACATTTTGTAGGTTTTTGGTACTTTCAAAAGTTTTTTCTCTATCATCATAATGCTGGAGACCCATGGGTATCTGCTGTCTGTGGGGCATAAGACCTCCAAGCCTGAGGTCTATTGCAGTAA